AGACCTGGAGGAGGCACATGGAGCCGAGAGACACATGAAGAAACTGCACTTGCCTTTTGGTCGTGGACTGGATGACACAGATGTGGGTGAGACCCGGGGGGAGGTGACAATGGTGGGTTTTGTCTTGATTTTGATTTTGCTCTTTTCCTTCCAGACTTGTCTGATTGTTTCTTTCTTTCTTTCTTTTTTTTTTTCCAAAGATTTATTTATTTATTTATACAAGCACTGGGTACAGTCAGAAGCGCGGGAGGGTGAGAGAATTCACCAGAGCCAGAGCAGGGAGCAGAACAGGCAGAAGGACCAAAGTACACTGCTGAGGGGAGCAGTGGGCACAACAGGAGAGGTCCGTCGTGCCATGTGGGACCCTCGCTGGTGGCCCGGGATCAAATCTGTGCCGCAGAGGCTGTGGGCAGCCTTGCAACCCAGAGCTCAACCGCTGCGCTACCAGGGGAGGCCCTTGTCTGGTGTTTCTGATCCTTTTCTATGGGTCCCCACTGGAAGATGCTTTAGACTTGTGGCAGGCTTTAGGGCCTTGCTCTGGGCCAATCCTGCTTGGGTGGACTTTTACCCACGAGAGGACGGGTAACTTTGGGTGCTTGATTTAGAAACTATATTCTTTGCCTTTCCTGTATTGTTTCCTAATTGTATTAAAGTTCCTTTTCATTAAAGTCTCATATGTTTTGTGTTGATGCGACAGATGGCAGAACCTATTTAGAGCAGTCAGGTTTGCAGGGTCTGGGGTGCCCCTCTCCCTGCCCTGTAACACAACCAACACAAGCAGGATTTTGTCATGCCTCCAGATGAAGCTAGAAAAACTCTCTACAAAATGGTTCTCAAACCTGTATGTAAAACTGCCCAACAGAGCTTGCCATTTGTGCAGATTCCACTGCCTGAACTTTAGGACATTTTCACTGAACCAATAACTCAGAAAGTTTACATAACAATAAAAAGGAAATGGGGGAAGGGGGTAGGCAGGGAGAAAGATTTCAAGATAAAGCCAGTGGAAGCTAGGAGTATATTGAAAAGAATGACAGTTGACCTAAAACTAAAACAGTTTACTGAGTAGGTTGTCAATAGTTTCTCAACCAATCATTCCTTCCATGAAATGCTTTCTTCACTTGGCTTCTAGGATACCACTCTCCCCTGATTTTTTGCCTACCTCAAAGTCTACTCCTTCCGTTTCCTTTGCTAGATCTTCCCTTTTTTTGACTTCTAACTATCTCAGTACCCCAGGCTGGGACTTATTATAATCATTTACTTGATCTCATCATAACTTTAAATACTGACTGCTCCCAAGCAAATCTGTCCTTTCCACCTCTCCTTGAGAGTCAAACGCATGGCCTACTCCTCTACTTGGGCTTCAGATCTTAATTTTCTGCAAGCAAAACGCAACCCTTGATTTCCAGCCTCTAAATCAGCTTCCCTCTGGTCTTTATGAACTCAGATTGAAAATCTCAGTGTTTTCCTTGACTCTTTCCCCCTTATTCTATGATCAATCCATTAGGAAGGCCCATCAGTTCTACCAATAACACAAAACTTAAATTAGATCTTTTCTCATCATTTCTACCACCAACTCCTTTTTCAAGTTATTATTTTTCACTGAGACTTCTCCAGTAGCGTCTTAACTAGTCTCCTTATTTCCATCTATTCTTCTGTTCTCCGCATACAGCAGTCAGATTAGGCTTTAAAAATGTAAACCAGACTAAGCCACTATCAATCAAATCCCCGTAAGTGACCCCATCTCAATATAACCCTGACTTCCTCCCCTTGCCTCCCTCTGTAATTTTATCTCTTTCTCCTCAGCACTCACTCTGTTCTAGTCACACTGGCATTCTTCCTGCTCCTGGGACACACTCAGCTAAACCTTACCCCTGGAAAACTCTTCACAGTAGGTCACTCCCTTGATTCACTTTAAGCTTCTTAATCTCAACTTCCCAATGGCCTACCCTTTCTCCCTCTCACCTATAATTCTTTACCATGTTTTATTTTTCTATATGGTATTTTGTTTATTGTTTATCTCCTCCACTGTGTCAGCGCCACGGAATATACAGGCTTACTTATTGCTGCATGAGAAGCACCCAGAACAGCACTAGGTACAATGTGGGAACTTAATGTTTGTTGAATAAAAAGGTGGAAGAGAGAAAGAGAGAGAGGGAAGGGAGGAGGGGGAGGGAGGGAAGAGAGGAAACAAGTAGCCCAAATATGAACAGAAGTGAGAGGACTCCAAGAATGATGCCTTAAAGAAAAAACAGGTTTCCTTTTTTAAAAAAAATAGTATGATACGGTTAAATCATCTGAATTAGACAAAAATACATATTATTAAAAAATTTTTAAATAGCAATTATATTACACTGCCACTTTACTTTCCGATCTCAGTTTTGTGCTGCTTGAGGTAGTACTTATCTCTCAAGTGGCAGAGACTTAATGATACAGGATTATATTTACTTCTTTGCAGGTTCAAAGATACTACTTATACATTCATAATACTATAAATGCTGGTTTATATTTTCAATAGACCCAGGATTATAAATTCAGAGACCAACAAAGGCTAGGCAGAAATAACAATATAAATGGATGAAATGGGCCTGGTGGGGACTATGGTGAACTGAAGAACATGTGTTCAATCTAAGGAGAAAGCTGTTACCCTCATCAAGTGAATGATGCCTATGGGAGGGAACACATGCAAAGTATGATCAAGTCACTTGATTTTTTTAGAGAAGCTAAAATCTGGATTTATGTGAAATCTCCCAATTATTTTTTTTTAAAGATTTATTTACTCATGCATACAAGAACTGGGGTACAAGCCAGAGGCATGGGGGGTGAAAGGACTCACCAGAGACTGAATGGGGAACAGAGCAGGCTGACTGACTGAAATGAAACACACTGCTGAGGGGAGCAGCGGGTGAGACAGCAGAGGTCTGCTGCGCCATGTGGGCAGCTCCCAGGCTGGGGATCGAACCCGTGCTACAGTGGCTGCAGACAGCTTCATAGGTTGTGTCCTAACCCCTTGCACCACCAGGGAGGCCTTCTCCCAATTATTAAACATTATCAACTAACTAAAAAACAGATACTGTGAAAATACCTCTATGGGCTAGAGTCTCATAGAGGCCTCAGTTTTTACAACTTCTGCTATAGACAGCTCAAGCTACATTATAGTTAGTAAACTGTACAAATGTTAATGCTATAAACTTTGATAATATATAAGGGTTTAAGTATATTATATCAAAAGTATATGATGTAAAATTTACCGATAGAACTAAAATGTGACTGACAAAGACTGAAGCAGTGTATGTAGCAAAATAAACAATTAAGAAAAAATATCAACAGTCCACTAAAAACTGACAAATCAAAGTCAAGAAATACAGCTTGCTACCCATTAATCTGAGATATAAATCTAACTACAAGAAGAACTAGAAAACTGGACAGTGGGATTGGGACCTCTTGTACTATCTGAATTTCATTGTGATGTCATGTACTTTAATAATTTAAATTCAAAGATTATTAAAAGATTATTTGGCAATTACAGGCTTCAATGCTATGAGGGGTAAAACAGCATCAAAATTAAATTGTTTAAAATATAGTATCTAATTTCCTGATTTAATATATAATATGTAATTCATGAAAAATAGATTCAAAAGATTTAAAATTAACAGAAAGATAAGATACCTGAATTCTGGGTTCTGTGTATGGGAAAGGAGGAAGAAAAAGAACCTCAGAAATCCCAGATTTATGGATGCATGTACCAAAGAACACATAAAGCACCTTGATCTTTATTTCTCACACTCCACATTAGCAAATTCACGATTTTTAAAGCCACAGGCTCAGAACAGAGACATAAATATTGCTGTTTGGGACAGCATTTAATAACACCCACATGCATCAAAGAGCCACTCTGGTTTCTGTAAATGCAGCAGCCAGGCCTGTGACAAGTTTGTCAGACAGTCACTCAATAAATGCCTTTTGATGAAAAAGCAGCTTCTCCTCAATTCAGAAACATGTGGGCTTCTTTGGCAGGCTGTTCAAGAAGAACACTTTCCTAACTAGTAGGATTATGACTAGAAAGTCATTACTTCTCTCAAGAGTTTAAAGAACACATAAAAACATACAATAAATGGTTGGGAAGTGAGAAATGAAGTACAAAATGAATACAATAAACAAAAAATACCAAGAGGAATCTAAATGCAATCAGTAATAATAAGGTATTAAAATAAGTGTGGTAGCTCAGGAACCCTTTGTACTGAAGTTCCATGTCTGTTCTCATATGGACTACTGCAGTAATCCCCCAACTCATCTTCCTGCCTCTACTCTCCTTCATACACTCCCTTCCCCTTCCATCTTTCTACATAGTGCATACACAATACCCTTTATTAAACCCAAACAAGTCATGTGTCTTCCATGCTTAAAATAAATCTATGACTTCTCAGTGTCTAAAAATTAAGATCAAAGTCTTAATCATGGAACACAAAGTCCTCTATTATTTGGCCCTGATCTACCTATTGTTGTAGAAATCCTCTTCCCAACTGAGTCACCCATACTGTTTTGAGCCATAAGCCCCAGTGCCAATGAACAATACCTAAATTCCGGAACTATAGGGCTGACAATAAATGTCCTGTGCTCATACTGCACCACCTTCTGGAATTCCCACGCTTCTCTCCTTTACTCTTACTCATCTGTCAAGCTCTGGCCCCAAAATGTCTGCCTCTATTAAGTCTTCTTAACCCAAACAAAGATTTGGTCACTTCTGTGATACCACTTCATCCTCGAATTTACTTCTACTAGAGCATGTCACATATTAACGTAATTAACTGATAACATCTGTCTCCCTTTCTGAACTATGTACTCTCTGAAGTCAAGTCAACGGCTGCTTTTTAATCCATTATTATATCCTATGCCTATCACTCCAACAGGTGTTCAGTAAATGAAATAAAAAAGTAGAATATGGAATGAAATTATAATCTGATACAAATTACATAAATCTGAATGTTAAAACATGGTCCCACCTGGTAACTAACTGTTTTTTTTCCATCACTTCCAGTCTGAGGTAAGGTCAAGGGTCCAGATACTACCCAAACATCTTCAAACCTCTCTGTTAGTTCCCGACAGTACATTTCTATTCTGAAAAAAAAAAAAAAAAAGCAAATATAATGTACAACATTTAAAAATAGAAATGAATAGAAATATAGAAAAGAAGCAAACTACATTAAGTCCCTAGGAAAGACACCAAAAACAATGAATTTGAGAAACTGAAGTAAACAAAACATGCCAAAAATATTATAAATATATAGGCAATGATTTCCCCGGTTTGTCTACTGTACAAAAAAATTTTAAAACCATAACACATTAATACAACTACCTACATTTTCCTGTCTGCGCATTCAGTGAACATTTTAGAACTGAAAGTCTATTTTGTTCTCGCCCTTATTTTTCTATGCCATAATTCTCAAACTTTTTTCAAGAATTATGTATCATTTTAACAAGTTGATATACCTTATTTGTTTAATCATTCCTAGTGTGAGAAAACTGGGTTAATCCTAACATTTCTTTTTTTTTTTTTTTAAATTTATTTTATTTTATTTTTTATAGAGGCATGTTTTATTTATTTATTTGTTTGTTTGTTTGTTTTGTTTATACAAGCACTGGGTACAGTCAGAAGCGCGGGAGGGTGAGAGAATTCACCAGAGCCAGAGCGGGGAGCAGAGCAGGCAGAAGGACCGAAGTACACTGCTGAGGGGAGCAGCGGGCGGCAGGAGAGGTCTGCGCGCCATATGGGACCCTCCTCCGGTGGCCAGGGAGCAGCTGGGGATCGAACCGGCGCCGCAGAGGCCGCGGGCAGCTTCGCAACCCAGCGCTCAACCGCTGCGCCACCAGGGAGGCCCAATCCTAACATTTCTTATGTGAGACATTGTACTAATTCCTCAGGAAGTTTCAAGGGGTAGAATTACTTGATTGAATAAATATCTTAATCATACTTGACTGTATATAAAACTAGTATCTTTAATGATACTGGCCAATTTACTCTATAAAACCCAAAATATGACATAGCAGTTTCACAACAATCTTCAGAACACTGGGATTTAGCAGTTAAAAGCTGTTTTCACTAATTTACTAGATAAAAATAGCGGGGAGTTATTTTTGGTTGGTACACTTCCTTATACTTCCTTATACTTTGGTTGCAGTATACTTCCTTATACTGCAGCTGAAAGATTTGTAAGCAGCTCTCTTGCCTGCCTGTGACTATGCAGGTGCTTCTCTTTCTTTTTCTTTTTCCTTTTCCTAATAAACTTGTCCTTTTAAAATGTAAAAAAAAAAAAAAAATTTACAAGGTAACAATGCATGTCATCATTCCTCAGTTTCTTTATCTAACAGATGAAATCAACAGTATTACATCTTGGGCCTCTCCGGTGGCGCAGTGGGTTGAGCGCAGAGCCATGAAGCTGTCCACAGCCTCTTTAGTGCGAGTTCAATTCCCAGCCAGCCAAGGAGATACCCACATGGCATGACAGACCTCTCCAGTCTCGCCTACTGCTCCCCTCAGTCTTCAGTCCATCTGCCTGTTCTGCTCCCCACTCTGTCTCTGGTGAATCCCCTCACCCTCCCATGCCTCTGGCCTGTACCCCACTTCTTGTATAAATAAATAAATCTTTAAAAAAAAACCAGTATTACATCTTATAGAATATGTGCCCAATTATAAAAGTTTTCCTCCCCCAAATATATCCCTCAGGAAGAGAAAATGTTAAATGCTTCCACAGGTGTGTAATCAACTGAACTATGGAAAGGAAACACAATTCAACAAGTATCCTAGATCTTCAATAATTTTCAAATGAAATTTAAAAAGAAAGTGAGAAGGGAAATCTATGGATTAAAAGGAACTGAAGGGATCTACCAACCAAACATACATGTAGACCTTGTCTGAATCCTGATTCAAACCAACCAGGTAACCAAAAAAAAAAAAAAAAAATCGGGAACACTGACTGTAAAATTAGCAATAAAGAATTAATTACAGCTATATTTTTTAGGGCAAGAATAGTACTGTGGTTACAGTATTAAAAGACTCCTTATCTGGGCCTCCCTGGTGGCGCATGAGGTTAAGCACTGGACTATGAAGCAATCTGAAGCTCTGCAGCACGAGTTCGATCCCCGGCCAGCCAGAGAGAAACCCTGGAGAAACTTATTTTTCTATGCCATAATTCTCAAACTTTTTTCAAGAATTATGTATCATTTTAACAAGTTGATATACCTCATTTGTTTAATCATTCCTAGTGTGAGAAAACTGGGTTAATCCTAACATTTCTTATGTGAGACATTGTACTATTTCTCACTGTACTAATTGTACTAAGCAGACCACTGTACTAAGCATACCTCTCCTGTCTCACCTGCTGCTCCCCTCAACAGTGTATTTTGGTCAATCTGCCTGTTCTGTTCCCTACTGTCTCTGGTGAATCCTCTCACCCTCTATACCTCTGGCCTGTAACCCCAGCTTTTGTATGCATAAATAAATAAATCTTTAAAAAAAAAGACTCCTAATCTTCAAAAAGTATATACTAAAATATATATGGATAAAATATAACATCTGTGACCCAGTTAAAATACTGAGTAGAGGGAACATTTTGTAGATGAAACATACTGGCCATGACTGGTAATTGTTGAAGCTTTTTAGTATGGGGTGCTCTCTTTATTGTTTTAAGGCACAAACACAACAGCCTGGAACAATCTTAAACAGTGTTAGTTTTAAATGTTTACAGATCCCCTAACAGAAGTGGCTACAAGTGTCAGAAAAATGCAGAGGTCTAGAGACTTATAATTAGCTTCTATCAAAAAGTAGTTAATGGTTATGCTTACTTATACCAAAACTTTTTTAAAAACAAGTTCAGAAACTCTCTCGAAATTTAACAGAAAAATAAAAATTCAGTGTCCACTAGGCATACTCAAAAAGATTTTAGTTATTAACAGGAATAACATTTGGTTAGTTTCTTCCGGAGCAAATACGATCAAAGTAACTAGCTATGTTTTGAAGTCTGTACTCCTGCACAAAACTTCACTCCTGAAATAAAGCAAACAAGTCTGAAGTACTTACCTCTAGTACTGTTTTTGAAAAATGAGGAAAGTTTATAGGCACACTATTCCTATCACAATCACTCATCTTCCACAGAACCACAGATTAAAAACTCACCTGTTCCAATATCCAGCATTATTATCAAAATTCTGAGGCACAATATTAGAAAGGTAAAAGGTTTCGGCCATGGCTTTCTGTGAAAAGAATAAAAATAGTAACTTGTACTGAAATTTCTTCCCCTTTGAGAGAGATTTTATAAAAGACATAGAAAACTAGCTCCTTACTTAATACATTAGCTCTAAGCAATTACAGTGACTATTTGTTTAGAGAAATAAAAGCCATAGTGAGAGTTTAAAGAGAGTTTAAACTCTCCAAGACAGAGAGTTCAACAACAGTTATCCTAACAAGGACTATAACAAGGTTGGTAGCTTGGTGTGCTTGTTTTCTTTATAATTTATAAAATTCAAACATAATGTAGAATCTAAGAACTATGTTTTCCAATATAAAGTTAAAGGGTAAATTCTGGTTTTAAGTTTCTGGCTTAATCAGTTTTTCAATAAAGGACAGTTTTCAGGAATGTCGCTTACGTACAAGCACATTAATTCGATAGTAGCAGAGAAAAATTCCTTGTTGTTCTGAATTTCTGGCCACTACATGTTCATTCATTTCACACTTCTAACCCACAAATACAAGGTTCTATGTCACTGTATTTCCTTTCATTGATCTTTGCTAACTACCAATGACACTACCTTCTTTTTAGGATGTGGCTCTCAATCTTGGATGCCCATTGGGACAACCCAGGGATATTGATGGCTGGATTCCACCTCCTACAGTGTCTAATTTAAGTAATGTAGGTGACATGTCTGGCCATCAGGGCTTCTGAGAACTCCCAAGAGATGAGTATCCACAATTGTGAACCACTATCTTAATAATGGTAATCACCAATAGTTCATGCAGGTTAAGTGTCAATGTTATAAGACATTTTATGTCTTTTTTTAGTGAAGAAATTATTCTAGATTAAGACACTAGAGAGAGATGACAACTAAACATAACAGGTGATTCATGAATCAACACAAACTTTAAAGGACTAAATTGGGACAACCTGGGACAAAATGTCAGTATGAATTGTATGTTAGATGTTATTATATACACAAAAATTCATTTACACATATTTCTTAGTAAGATACAATTGTTTCATATATATGCGTGCGTATGTAAAGATAATCATTCTTGGCTTATACAATCTCCCAAGCAATCTATTTAGGAGTGTCAGGAATTTTATTGTCAGTATTTAAAAAACGTGCGTGTGTGTGTGTGTGTGTGTATGCAAATATATCAAAATGTACTATACTATCTTTTCAACTTTTCTACAGGTTTAAAATTTTTCAAAGTAAAAAACAGTTTTCCTCATTCAACCTATTTAAGTATGTTTCAGTATCTGAGCTAAAAAAGTAATTCAAGTCATGAGATAAACATGAAAATGTATGGAAATTCTCAATTAAGGCTTGGCTCCTAGTATTTTAATTTCCAAATCCCAGAGTACACATAATACCACCCCCACATCCCCATCCCTATCCCCCAAAATATGCCTACAGTAGAAAATTTGTTATTTCCTGCTGGAGCCATGTGTCCTCGTGACCACCCGCTTCCAATATAGTCCTCATTGACGGCACTGAAGGTTGAAGGGATGTTGGGATCTGGCTTGAATTTACAATGTTTTCTGTCTGCATTTCCTGAAAATAAACCACACACAACCAAAATGGGCAAGTCATCAGTGAACAAATATCCCTCAAGATTCTCTAAACAAGGCACGCTGGTTGCAGCTGGCTTGTATCTCTCTGAGCGGCTCATACTTAGTGATTGAGTGCATGTCTCCAGTTCCTAGAATAGTTCAGATACTTTAACTGAATATAGCAAGGACTAGTCTAGGAAAGAATGCTTTTCATACACTGTAGCTATCTCACATACTTTTGTTTCCAGCCTTTCAAGTTAAAGAAAAAAAATCCTCTGGACAGTAACTAAGTTAAAAAATGACCCAATAGCTGAGCTATATAAAAAGCATAGCTACTAAACAAACTCTTCTTTAAAAAGACCTCCATGTATTGCATTTGTATATACTGAAAAAATGGATATATCTATAGACATGTAGATATAGATATATCTATAGACAAATCAAATTACTGCCTCTTAAGCCATGACAAAATATTAAGGTTATGAGCTCAGTCAAGCAATTCCTGAAAGAAAATATCTGAGTACCACAGGAAAGAAATCTCAGTTTTTACTTATATTCTAATACCTCCAGAACAGTTTGTCACAGATGACATTAGCAAACCCTAACACTTCATTTTCCACTGTCATTAGGACAGATCTTGTTAAACTACAAAACTTATGAAGACAAATGGAATATCCTCAGGCTGATATGCAAGTATAAAATGGAGAGCAATGATTCTAGTGATTTCATTCAGCCAAGAAAACTGCAAAATTATCAGATCCCAAAGCTCAGAAAATACTTCTTACACAATGATAATAACATTTCTTACTATTAACAGAATTTGCCTGAATAACTTAGTCATTGTTACTGAAAACAGACCAATCTTTACACTAAAATCAAGTAAATCACAGGTATGTTGCTTCCTGTTTTCAAATAATATTAACTAGTTCTATTTCACCTCCTCAAAATCACACAGCTCATGGAATTTACAATATGAAACATAGTATTTTTCTTATATGCTTCTGACAATAATAAATTAATAGCAGGATAAAATTAGTAAAGCCAAAATTCCTCATTATCTTGGGAAAATTTTTGTATTTAAAGGAAATTCCTTAGGCTTGAGACTAAATCAGGTAAGATCCTTTGATGTAAATTTATATTTTTTCTCAACTATTATGACAAAGTTTATACCTACATCAGTTTCCCTCTAGCAGCAAGTACTTGACAAGCCTCCTGCTATTCTGCTTGTTGATGTGCACTCTAGAAAGGCTCACATTTATTTAATGTCAGCATTTTTAACATACAAAACATAATATGCATTATAACACAAAGGAGAAATAATCTGTGGGGCACATAGCAAATTAAAATGGGAATAAAACAAATATGACAAAAGGTAATATACTAAACATATAAAAAGAACACCTACCAATTATTTTCTTTTTTAAATATCCCAACTGAAAATGATGAAGAAAAATTCACAAAAACTAATTCACAAAATGACAACCCTCATGATAACCAATAGGCACAAATAATCAGCTATTAGATTGGTAAGCTCAATGACCCTCTTTATGGCTGAAAGCTGGAAGAGACGAACAGCGATGAGAAACCAATCTGACTTTAAATATCAAGACAGTGATCTTGATAATGGGAAGCTGTCAACACATGAACAGACTTACACACCTGCAACGTCTTCAGTCTCACTACATACCATGTTCTCCCTTGCTCCAGCCACTCTGACTCCCTTTCAGTTCCCTAAAGGAACAAAACACTCTTCTCCACACTGTGGCCTTCAAAGATGCACCTATACTTTTCTGACCAGAATGCCCTTCTCCATATCCCTGGGCCCACCCAACTCCTCTGTTTAGGTAAATACCAGTCGTCCTTCGGGCCACATTTTCAGAGAAACCTCATTAACCAAAATTAGGTTATTCTGTTATAATCTGAAATCATATTCTTTACTGTTCCATAATTATACTATCCCAATTTGCAAACAGTTTCCTTTCAGAACAGTTAATATCCATTGCAAAAGGGTGAAGAGGAGGGAGGGACAGGAAGGTTAACGACCATTTACCCTGGTCACTGATGTATTCCCAAGGCCTCACATAGTGCCAGACACATGGTAGGCACTTAAAAACATTTATGAAAGGGCCTCCCCAGTGGCGCAGCGGTTGAGCGCTGGGTTGCAAGGCTGCCAGCAGCCTCTGCAGCGCCAGTTCAACCCCAGCCACCGGCAAAGGTCCCACAAAAAAAAAAAAAAAAACCATTTATGAAAGCAATAGATGAGTGGTGCTTATTGCAACATTTGTGACAGAGCTTCTAATTCCTGTCAAGAAATGGAACTGTGCAGTCCCTAAGACTAACCTGGGAATTATCTGGGGATCCCTGGCTGCCAGGCTAGGTCCATTTAGCCAGTGAGCCACATAAACATCATCATTTTCTGTATGAGCTGTATTATGAAAAAGGTTGAGGTTAACAATCATCTCCCTAGTTCTTAGGTTGGAAACATCTTTCACAAATACCTTTACTTCTAGTCACCTACCTATTATCTTGCTTCTGGATATATGTTCAAGGACCCACCTAGGCACCCGCTTTGACTGATCATAAGACAAAGCATGATTAGTGTAACACCTAGTTTCTGTTCCAGTTAAAGGGAAACCAAATCGCTCCAAGACAGCCTTTTCTGCAGAACCTAAAAACGAGGGGAAAAAAAGGGGGTGGGGGGACAAAAACAACAAATAATTAGCAACCCTTAGTAGGAACAAAAAATTATAAGAGAGCAGGGTGAGATTTACACAAAGGACTGCCTCAAAAATATGATCAACCCAGAGATATTAGTTTTGCAATTACTTAGAAGACAAAGAAGAGACAAAATACTGGTTTTGTAGGCACAGCCAGTAGGCAAATACTGATTTTTTGCCTATAATCAGTTGTATAGTTATGGTAAAATAAACTGCAGCTACTTCATTAACTTTTTAATAAGGACCTGATCTTATTGGCCATTTACATCAGCTTCAACAATCTCTGCTGTAAACCAAAAGTAACAACTGTGTAAACCAAAAGTAACAATCAAAAAGAAATACTTCATTCCTAGTCGCTGATATGACTGAAGGGTAAAAGAGCCGACCTACTGGATATCCTTTAAGAGTACTAGGGGGATAGGGCCTCCCCGGTGGCGCAGCGGTTGAGCGCTGGGTTGCGAAGCTGCGCGCGGCCTCTGCGGCGCCGGTTCGATCCCCGGCTGCTCCCCGGCCACCGGAGGAGGGTCCCACATGGCGCGTAGACCTCTCCTGCCGCCCGCTGCTCCCCTCAGCAGTGTACTTTGGTCCTTCTGCCTGCTCTGCTCCCCGCTCTGGCTCTGGTGAATTCTCTCACCCTCCCGTGCTTCTGACTGTACCCAGTGCATGTATAAACAAAACAAACAAAGAAACCAGCAAACAAAAAAAAAAAAAAAAGAGTACTAGGGGGATAAAAACATTGTCATCTTTCTTTCCTCAATATCCTGTTACTGAAGCAGAGATGTGTGTGCTGCAGCCAGACTGTAGCAAAATTGATACTGTTTTTCCTAGCAGAAGAAACCAAGCACGCATTTAATAGGGAGTGGGTTTCAATTGAATCCTCTCGATGCTTTCCCCAGACTTCAACTCATCAGAGTAGTTTTCTTGCTAAATACCAATAACAGAAGGGGCACGTTAATTAGCATGTGTAAGTGTAAGAAATGAACATGAATTCATTTTCTTCATTAAATAAAAGGTATCCTGGGCAACTAGAGAATTCATATACTTTGAAGAAGGGTTGGCAGGTATGCTTCATTTGAATGATGACAAAATAAGGACAATTAACTAATCTGCTAAAACTGCGTGTTAATTTATTGATTCATTCATACCTACTGAATACCAACTGGGTACCAGATACCGTGTAGTGTACGTGGTGAACAAAACACAGTCCAAGCTCTTACGGAGGCAACGATCTAAAGGACACCGACAATAAGACATACGGATCATGATAAATACTTGGGGGATTGCAGGGTAAATGGCTGTCAGGCTTTTCTGGCCTCCTGCCATTAGGATTCCCCTGCCTGATGGGCAACCTGCATTTTGTTACATTGTTGTAAGTTGTGTGGTTTACTTCTGGGGGCCATGACTGCAGTTTGGAGATATTCGGCAGCAGAAGCAGGAGACGGGGCAGGAGAGAGAGAAGGAGAGAAGCCTAGAGTGAAGACTTGCCGGGGGCTTGGAGGCCTACAGGCCTCCTGGCCCCCAGCACCCCTGCCTGCCGCGTACCTGGTTGCTGCACTACATGTAAAAGATCAATAAAAGCCTGAGAAGCCCACCGCGGGCTCCGGGTCTCTGCTTTACCCGTCTGCCGGATCACAGAACCAGCTCAGTGGCCTTCCTGCCGTTACAGGGATGAAGATCCCCGGAGGCAGAGACAGGATTTGGGGAGAGGGGGCCGCGCCGGGAGACGGGAAAGGCTGAAGGCCAGGGTCTGAGCTCGCGGCTGGGCGGAGACAGTCCCGGCCCGGGCAGGGTTCGGGGCCCGCAACCGGGCCAGGGCGGGGAGAGCGGGCCCACACTTACCGTCAGGTTCGATCACTGCCAACGCTGCCTCGGCGCTCTGACTGCGGAGGAACTGAGCGGCCGCGAGCCCGGCTCCCGCGACGCCCACTACAGCTCCGGTCAAGAAGCCATTCAAAAAGCGCCGGGAGCCTCTGAGGCGGGAAGCAAAACTTTTGGCAGCCATCTTGGCCGAGACACCTGCCGTTTGCCTCGGCGCATGCGTAAACGGGGTCGGACTCCTAGAAGCCAATCGCAGTCGCGGGGCCAAGACACGCATGCGCGGGCCTCCCCGGTGGCGTAGGGGGTTAAACACCACACTAGGAAGCAATCCGCAGCCTCTGCAGCACGAGTTCGATCCCCGGCCGGTCAGGGAGCAACCCATATGGCGCAGACCTCTCCTGTCTCGCCTGCTGCTCCCCTCAGCAGTGTACTTCCGTCGATCTGCCTGTTCTGTTCCCCACTCTGTCCCAGCTCTTGTATGTATAATAAATCTTTAAAAAAAAAAAAAAAAACACGCATGCACGCCCTGGAGTCGCCTGTGGCTGAGGGACTCCAGACACTCCGCGTACCTGGAGCGCAGGCACAGCCCCTCCCGCTGAGGGCCTCGCGCGCCCCCTGGCGACAAACTTGAACGCCCAGAGGCTTCCCACTGCCCTCCCTGGTCAGCTTGAACGGGTGTGGGTGGGCGCACGACCTCGTGAGGGCGCTGAGCATTCAGTAGCGTGCATAGAAAGTTCCAAGAATATGCCTTTAGCCTCACTTCATGGGTGAGTAAGCCACTAGCAGAACGGTTTACACTACGGCCCGCAGGTGAGATTCCCACTCAGGTCTGATTCCAAAACCTGTGCCATAGAGAATGTCTGCAGATATCTGGCTTTCTAATCATATGGAAGAGGTTTCCCAATATCCGAAAGTAGAATTTGGACCATTCCAAGACCCTCAAAATAAACTACTAAGTCATACCAAAGCGGGGTGTTCTTTCAGATAGCAGGGGAAATCTCTAAACAAAATATAATTTGTGAAAACAGCTTTGTCTCCTCTCAGGAGTTCTTGACAAGAGAGGGCTCCACGGTTGCTTAGGGCCCTGAATCAGAGTGAGGAGTTTGATCCCACTCAACCACTTCCCACCTTGGGTGTGTTGCTGCACCTTCGAGGCTTCCATTTCCTTTCTTCAAAGTGGGAATACTACTACTGAGTCCATAAGTTCTTGGGAGGATTAAAGGAGATGGTCCTTTTGAAGCATTTAGGGAAGAACATGAGTCATCGTAAATGCTCTGTAGAATAATATTGGCGAATTTTGAGTCTTACCATGATAGAAAATCTGGATTGCTGAATGCTTGCTTAAGGATGCTTTATACACTCCCACTTACGAATAAATGGGTCCTGAACATTTTGGAAAACAATCTCTAGCATTCCCCTTGGACTATTCACTAAGCAGGAGGCCATTTCTTCCAATCAAGTCCAGTGTAGGCACTGTTTCCACAGCCTCATGGCTCCATGCTCCCTCCACAGATATATCACTCATAAAGTCATTTTGTGTAAAACTCTGGGTCTCTGGCCCTAAATGATTGAGCTAAGTTAGACAGTCTTTCCAGAGATTTTGTATCTGGACCTCTCTCCAGGTAGCAAAGCTGTACGTGAAAACTCTGGCACTGTCTACCACCTTATTTCCTGCATCAGTAGACAAAGGTACTGGTGCATCTAACCTCTCACTGAGTGGTAGTGGAAGAAATGCTGAGGCCTACAACCAGCTTCTAAGGTTCTTGAAGCCCAGAAACATCCTGCCTTTCTCAGTGGGCCACTTTCCCCAGGATCCTTCTAGTAAAGCCATTTTATTTAATAGTTTCTGTTACTTGCAACCAAGAGTCCTGACAAAGACCAGACATTGGTATCTGTAGGTTTCAAAGCTAATTGTGCAGCTTCCATCATAATTTACTATTTCATTCACTCAAGAAGTATTTCTCCTGGCCCTCCTGAGTGTCAGGCACTGTGCTAAACACTAGAAATAAAGGACAGGTGACATCCTCTTCCCGATGCTGTATGTGTAAACAGTGAGGATTGGAAGGACTGCCTCCTAGCAGGGTAACTCCCAGGGAATTCTAGTGGTCCACAGGAGTACATGATCCCTAAGGGAAGGAATAGAAAGACAAGGTACACAATCCCATCCCTCCCCCAGCCCTTTCTACTTGCTCACTTGGGCAAGATTGCTTTTATAAACCAGTTCCTTTGGTGAAAAGTTCCTTTCTCTTTCGCTAAAGAGAAAGTTTGACCAGATGACTCCCATGGTCCAATCTTCAACTTTTCTAGCTCAAAAGTCATTCAAAAATGTTGGTCTGGAAGGTATAGCAGGGGCGTAGAGCATTTAACTGCTAAAAATGTTAACCTTTGCCTTCCTCTGTTCTACATTAGGAGCACTTGCTAATCAAAGGTGAACGTTATAAATCTGAAAGAGCAAAAAGGAACCCAAACTGGAAAACTGGTCACTAAATAAAAGCCTTTTCATCAAAAATTGCTCACTAACAGAGCCAAGCAGGTTGCTTAATCCTCTTAATAAAAGGTGAATAAAAATGCATTTACCCCAAGGATTCAAAGTTGGTAAGTCTCCACTTAGAAAATAACAGTCAGGGGCTCAAAAAAAAGCATTTACATGAGTGTACACAGCGGTGAGGTGATTTCTGGGACTGTTTTCTTTGTTTGATAGCTAAGATTGTCATTATTTTGTTGGCAGGGAACCGTGTTCTCATTTGATGAGAGCTCAGGAACTCCAAAATATGACATCTGGCTTACTGATTTAGATGTGGAATGGTAACCAATAATCCTATTTTTTAATAGCTCAGCCAGGGACCCTGGTACTCAGCCATGTTTGGGAATGGCAGAACTTGTACTCTGCAGCAGTCCTGAATATAAATGATTATCTAGACCTCTCTGCTCCAGTTAACACAAACACTGTGCAGGGCTGCCTGCAATGTAGAGGACTGAGAGGTGGGGGTTATGTTTGGGGAATCTGGGAGATGTGGAAATTACACCTCTGCCTTGCAGGAACTTGCCCAAAGTCCTTGACAGTCCATTCAGGAGATGCCCCAACTAGGTGCTGAGCTTCTGAAGAGCAAAAATGGAGACCTATGCCAGGATCCAGCCCCTCAGGGAACATGGAGGACTAGGCAATCCATGATAGTACCTGTGCACCCAGCAGGAAATCCCAGGGGTGTTCAGGGTGTTCAGCCCCGTTAAGTGGAAGAACACCATTTCATTTTTAATTCCCATGAAAAGAAACCTCCACCCCATCCCCTGCCGCATGATTAAGACAACAACAAGTCTTTATTATTATTATTATTCTTTTATTTTCATATACGAAAAGATAAAACTTGAAATAGTTCTAGATTTTTCCTCCTATTCTGTTGGGGTGTGGCTGCTTCTTCACACAGGGGGAAAAACTACATTCACATCGGTTTGAGGACCCAGTGCAGAGTTCAAGCAGCAAAACCCCAACTTAGCAGATCTAATTTCAAACTTGACACTCATTTCTAAAATTACCACAGTAAAAAGGAACAAAGATCCACTGCAAATGAATGAACTATGATACAATGTTCTTTCCAAAACGTCTTCATTTTGCAACTGTAATTACACGGATGTCTGCTTTAGGCCATTTTTGATGTGTGCGTGTATCTAATATATATATATGTGTGTGTGTGTGTGTGTTTTATATATATATATATATATATAAATCAGCACACTTTTCAAATCCAGACAGGGTAACAGCAACAAGCTTAACTGTGTATATATATATATTTTTAAAAAAACATACTTTAGTATAACTTTTGTTAATTCAGTAGTACAAGCTATTTCTGTTCTACAAAATTTTTATTTTATAGCTACAAGGGTGAAAAGTGACCTATTACATTTACATCTCACATATCCTGGTATACAAACAGTACTTATTGAATTTGAGCCAAAAACTAGAAGTCTTTAGTTTTAGCACTTGAAGAGCTTCCTCACTTCTACAGCCTTAAATCATATACTAGTCACATTTCCAGAGTTTGCAATTACTCATTGTTTTAAACCGCAAGAAACAGGTGAATCCAAACTTTTAATTACAATTTTTATATACAAGTTAAGATAACACAGCTCAAGAAGACTTTGCTATCCACCCTAAACCCAACACACACATTCTCCACTAAGTTAGACAAGTCTTAGGGTTTTCCTTCTTTTCCTTACAAATAATGTACAAATTTAGAAGTAGCTGGTAAAACTGATAGATAAGATGGCAAATGAGAGGTGACACTCTGCTGACTCTAAAATTGGTCCTGCAAATTTTGTACTCTGCTGTGTTCTTTAACTGTATGTGTGTTATGTGCAGAAGCTCTTTTCACAAGAATTGATATCAAACTCAATAGAAGTTAAATTTACAGTACTGTATAAAGTTATTCAGACTCAAGGACAAATGTGGAAAATAATCTGATTAAACAGGTGAAAAATTCGGCCTCAGACGCTACCATTAAGAGCATGTCAAATTCACAAGCAGATTCTTTTGTACAGTTGAAAAATGGTGTTGTGTGGATTTGTGGTGTAGAACTGAAATCTAAAAGTATGTTTGTTTCTAATCTGCGGTAACCCTTCCCCTCGATTCTCAAGTACCACTCAATTTTCTTTGCATTTTTACAAAATCCTAGAAAAAAATGGGGGTGGGGGGTAGGAAACCGCTGGCATTTTAACAATCCCTCCCCCTCACAGGAGGTCTTAACACTTTCAGATGAGATCCTCTAAGAATCTCTATGATCACTGGCTCTCAGACAGCCTCGACAATCACTTGGACGCTTTCTTAAAACCCAGATATTGCCTGATCTTTCCTACTCTCATCTCTGTCACTGCTGGTAAAATTTGGATGAGCGCGTTTTTTCCCTTATGGAGAAATTATTTGGCTAAACATACACTTAACTCGTGGCAGTGCTCTGAGAAAACCCCATGCGGGCTAAAGCACTTGCAGGGACTGAAGTCAACAGTCCGCTGAGCAGGGCAGAGACCAAACGCTCCGCGGGCTGGGTTGGGCCCCACCGGGAACACACTGACCTTGGTGTCCCACAGCCCGCAGCACCACCCAGGCAGGCGGCAGGTAGCCCGCACTCAGATGGCTGAGTTACCACTTTTAATCTTGGTCTGCCATCTATGCCCCAGAGACAAAAATTCAGATGTGGTGACTGCTGGTTAATTAAACTTTCTGAATTGGTAAAAAAGGCTCTTTTAAAAATATATATATATTTATTTATTTAAAATACATCAAAATGACAAACAGCCATATCCCACAAGGCCTAATTTCACAGCAACATATGCTACAGACATCTTCCCAAAATGCACTGTGGTGGAGGGTTTGGGTTTTTTAATCCTGCCATTTAAAGGAATGTTCTACATCTGAGTTGAATGGCTGGAGATGTGTTACAAAGAGCTCATCTTTGGAACTGATTTGTGTGCAAGACCAGCCGACTGAATCACGTTGCCCAAGAATACTGGAAATGGCAGAAGTCAAAGAGGAGCACAGGAAGCACCGTTCAGATGACACACGAGACCCACCCCACCACAGTGGCGCTAAGAGCTTGCCAGAAGCCCCGTTTCCAGTCCCTGGGAAGAATTTTACTTTAAAACAAATAAGTGCCCACACTTGGCAGGGCTCCTGCACGTGTGTTACAGGCCTGCAGTACCAAGAGGACCCAGATGGTGACACCGTTCAACATGAGGTCTGAGGTAAATGGTTCTTAAAATATCTGGAGGACAAGTGCCTCCAGAAATTATAGCTGGGAAAAAAGGAAAAAGGTGGGGTTTCAGGCTAGAAAAGATAAGTAGAAAAAAACTTACAGCAGTTGCTTTTGTTGGGTGGAGGGGAGGCAAGTGACAAAAACAAAGGCACAACAGAATTACATTCCAAGACTCGTAGCTGGAGAGCAGGGAAATGTTCTTTTACGGGGGATGAGGAAAGAAACAATGGGATGGTTTCCGGAGCACTGAAACTAAATTTATTCCAAATTATAAAAGGCATAAAGTGTAAAACTTTACTCTAAACCAGAATGAATGAAAAGCAATTAGTTTAAAATGACACATCATGGAGTCTCCTGACAAGACTTTCCTAACCAGCGTACTCTGGACACAGTAGCCTAAGCCAGCAAGCAGGCCTGGGCACAGTCTTCAGCTGGGCCTCAGAACTGCAATTAGAGAGATGAAGAATAAGCCTCATTATACGCTTCCCCTATATCGCCATCAAAAAGGTTCATCCAAACAACCAACCACTCTCTACTCAAAAAAAAAGAGGCTACCATGAAAACCGCCTCCCAAATCATGGCTGCGATGTTGACCTTTGTAGGACGAGCAGGAGAACATGTAGACATCTGAACAATGCTCTGCCGATTGGGGTTCTGAGCTTCCTCCACGGGCTCCTGGATAACTCACGAGCTCAGCCAACCACTCTCACTTCCAAATAGCCCTGCCAGAGAGAAGAAAGGTGCCCGGCGCTGCCCATCTAGTGTGAGCACTATGTCCACCCCTCTCTCCCCACTCTGTCCACACAGGGACTCAGCTGGAATGTCTGTCCTGAAAACTGGGTAATCTGGTCCTGGATAATTCAGTTTGGGTGGCTCATTCAAATCTCCGAATCTTCATTTTTATAGTCTGAATCTTACTCTAGCTCCAACCTGCCCCAATCCGCGCCCGCACACAATTTCTGTTCCCCAAAACACCCTCAAATTACTACATACTACAGCAGGAACCTAAAAAATAATGTTTAACTTTCAGAGCCCTTTGATCAAAAGAAATCTCAGGAGGAAGAACAAAGTGTAAAACACACTGCAGGCTCCTCTGGCCTCCCCAGCCCTGCTCCTCCCAGGCTGCAGGGAGCCATGCGGAAGCGTCACTGCCCAGCCACAAGCGGAATGCTGGCCAAACAAGACCCAGGCTGGTGGACTCCAGCCTGCCAGTGCCTCATGAGTACCAAGTGAAAGCTCCACACCAACCATACTCCAGTGTACATTATCTCGAAAGGTAAAGCTCATTATTCTGTACAAAAATCATTCTTCTCAAACTCACTAGATTTTATAAAAATAATCTGTGGTACAAAACAATCTCCACACTGTGCAGAAGAATCCGTCAGGTGATATAACTAAATATATATGTAGAGCTATAGCTTTTTTAAAGTGTAAGTTCAAGTGTCAGATCTCTATTATATAGCCTATTCTTTTATTTACATGCTACCTACCAACATTCCAACGCAACCATGATTGCGAGGGTCAGGGAATGAGTCTGTGCCCAATCAATAGCAGTAATTCCCAGGACTCAAGACAGAACTCATCCACTTCAAAACACCCATCCCCACCTGCATGAAAAGCATGAGCCAGCGGGGCATATTTTCCGTTAACTGTAAACGTAAACTTTAGACATGAATTAACACTTTTCCACAGATGTCCATCCAGCTCTGTATAGTCCATTGCAGACAAACATGTCCACGTGTCTATTTCTTTAGTGTCCTGTAGTTGGCTTGCAGTAGTTCTCAGAATTACCTACTCCCCAGACAGTTCAAAGATACTCCTGGGGAAAAGAAGGGCAGAGGAGGGCCCATCACCACATACTGGCATCTAGAAAATGCATTTTAATTCATGAGAAAAAACTATATGTGTTATGTCTATGAGCTGCCATAGGAGCAAATAAACTATCACTGGTTTTGGCACTACGGGGGATATACAGAGGACTACAATCAGAAAGTCCTGCTTCATTCATACCTGGAAGATACCGCCACAAAAATGTAAAACGTTGGTAAAAATTTAAATGGTAGTAACTTCTTTCTATTCAAAATCTCATTCAAACCAAAGCTTAGAGTGGACCTAAAATAAGTATAAAATAGGAATATTCAAAATACCCTACTAGACAACTTGGATTTTCATTTGATGATAGTATATGGGTCTCTTAGAGCATGTAATTTTTTTTTTTTTAAAGGTGGCTGTTATCAACTGAATTAATTTCCAAGGGGAACATCTTACACTTCAATTTCTTTTTCCTAAAAAAACTAAATCATTCTCTTAAAAAGCTTTTCCAAGCCTTCTAAAGGTTTGGGATACATTCATAGGTGGATTGCTGGTTACAAATCAACTACCAGTAATCTTACTTAAAGAACAACATGTACAAACAACCCTGAATTTATTAAATATTTACAAATCTAGACCGAGAAGACAAAGAGTTCTGTTGATGAAGACTTAAACGCATCACTATATTGAACACATTATCTGACTATTTTATTAGTTCAGCTTTTGTAAACAGCGAAGGAAAATTTATGTCACCCAAATGAGAAGAAGACTCCCTGGCCCTCTTTCCTATCTGGCTGCTCACCCGAGATGGGGGGTAGAGGAGTAAATTCACCGTGCTTAGATAGGTATGGTCTAGTGCCCTGAAATGTGAACCAGGCCTAGCCATCTCTCCAAAGATGAGCCATTTAGAAGCCAATAGGCTGTTGAAACAGCTGGGACCGACAATCAAAGTAAGCTAACTCCTGGAAAATGCCTTCCAATTTCACTATTTTTCTAGTGAGCCAAGTTCTCAAGAATAATGCCTGGCCACTCAACTTCTAACCAAGTCTAAAAACTCACTTATGCATACTACATTACTAAAAATCTTCAAATCCTGTATTACCAGTAAGTGCTGTGAACTTTATACTGCAGTCTAATAAAGGGCAAAGTTCCAGTTACAAGAGAGAGCTATCCAGTCGTCCCACCCTGTATAGGTTTGCTGCCTCCATGCCCTCCTGGCTCAGAACAGAGCGGTCATGAGACACTGCCCGTGGTGAATATTCAACACACCATTGGAACTGCCACCAAGGAGAGGCCAGTCACCAGCCAAGCACCCAGTGCAGAGTGGCAGGGTAGCAGGAAGCAAGAACATGCCAATCAAGGAGAAAGATGACAGATGAGAACTGCAGATCATCTGCTTTGCCTCTAAAGCATCAAACCACAAGAGGGCTGGGCTGGCATCGTAGGGCAAAAGAAGCACTCAGTGGCCTGGAGATGAGATGCTTCCCTCTGCTGAGTGGGGAGGTTCCAGCCAATAAATACAAACCAGGGCTCTAGATGACAGTTCCCAAAGAATACACGACAGCAAATAAACATTAAATCTGAGTAAGTCCCACCTAGGTTCCCAGCTGCAGCATGCCCTGAATATGTTCAAGGCTAGATAAGATCTTTCTTGTTCTATACACATGCCCCTCAAGTTCAGACAGGATGGATTCTGAACAAGAAGCAGCTAGTACACGGGAAGATCACCCCAAGCAGGGTGATTCTACGGGGCATCTAGGAAGGCAAACAGGACAATGCAGACTAATGATGCCCACTTTCTCCTAAGAAAGGTCCATCTGCAGCCCTCACCCTGAGCAATTCCCCCTAAGGACTCCTTGTAAGGACCAATGGCCCCAAGAGAAAACTGGCTCATGCCAGTCCCAGGAGGCTCTACTATGTCCATGGCCTTCCCTGCCCTCATCGACATACCCCCCGCCCCAAGTCACAGACAGTCCTCTGCTGGACACTGTGACACCATGGCCTCTGTGCCCATCTGCTTCCTTCTCCTCTTGCTCACTCCTAAATTTCCCTGGCTAGGGATGTCTTTCTAGAGTGATCATGGGTGTTTCCAAACATAACACATTCTGCCCCAAAGTCCACCCCACAGTCATGAGCCTGTTTGTGTGACTGCACTCTAGAATCAAAAGAGCAAGGATCTTGGACCACCTTCCTATCCTAGAAGGGGAAGTCCCTCTCACAGGCAGGAAAAATGATACCAGGCGCCATTCCCACCAATCTTCCACTTGGGGATAGGGAACGAGCGGCTAGCCAAGCTCCCTAGAAGTGGATGTCACATGAGGTCTTTGCAAAAGAACATAAGCAGAGGCCCCTCAACCCATTAAACACAAACCAGGGCTCTAGATGATTCACTCCCCAAAAGAGTATACAACAGCAAATACTTTTCTGAGTCCCACCCAGGCTCTCAGCTGTGTGCCCTGGAAAGATCACTCACCTTCCAGCCATCGAACCACTGGCAGCACTCAGGGAGACTGCCTGATGACTGCATGTATGCAACAGGAGGGAAAAGCATAGTCTGACACAGACCACCCCAAACATCCCTCTCTCTGCCGAAACAAATAGGTACCATCATGTCCTGACACTTCACTCTGGTGCCAAGGGCTGCTACAGTGCTGAGCACAGGGTTGGCAAAGGAGGAGCCCACCCACATAAAAGGCCTGTAGGCCGATGGAAGGCCTGCCCTGTCACGTACCGTGTCCTGACCGGCACAATTCTCCACAGCCAGGTCAGAACTTGTTCTCACAAGAATCAAGCCAGCACACAAAAGAAAAATCACCCAGAAAAAATCTAAAACCAAATGGAGATGCTGGGGTTTAGTGTTCCGCACTAGGCAGGATCGGCGATCTGACCGCTCCCATAGTAAATGAGCTACATTTGTCAGTGGTTTGTTTCTTCTGAAGGTAGAGAGACACCCAGCACTGCCTGAGGAGAAAGCTAAAGAAATTAGATATGGCACTTTTCAATAAATATTTTAAAGCTTCCTAAAGAAATAAGTGGAAAAGAAAAGCAACTGCTGTAAGGCCTGTTTTGCTGTTAAAAATTATTCCGAGGGAAGAAAATTACCACAGCACAAAGTCAAATAGTTTCAAAAAGGAAGAAAGACCATATAGCTTACCAAAAATACAAAAACACAAAAGGAAAACCTGTCCCTGTAACCACCTTGGCCAGTTCACATTTTGACCCATGAAATAAAAACTGGGCTCTGACAGGGAAGCAAACTCCCCTCCCACAGCACCCTGTGCCCAAACACCCAGAGACGAGGACACAGCCAGGCGGCAGGGCCCGGGTGCTGCGCCACATACAGCGCACTGAGCAGGGAGTAGACGGCAGGAGGGTACGTGCTGAGGCTGCAGTGGCCTCCAGGACAGAGTATGAAACCCTCCACTCGCAGGTGCACCCTCCTATCACAACTGCCCGAGACACAGCGTGGATTCAGAGACACCAGAGATCTCTGCAGCGATCCGTGCTTACGAAATAAAATCTCAAGTAAAATGACCTCATGCAGGTCTAAGGGCCACAGTTTTACCAAGTTAAAGTGGGGTTACCTGTCATTCTGAACATCAACCAATCAAGTTGAAGGAAACATCTGAACCTCCAAATAACCCAAGAGGAGGCCCTCTCCAATCTCAACCAAGTCAACCTCTTTCCCCTCGCCCACGGACTTACCTTCTCTCAAGATTAAGAGATCCAGTTTTTTAAACAAAATGGTCTAAAGAAACCAGAAGGAAAAGCCTTCACAAACAAGAGCGATGAATGCCCAGACAGCCAACCTACAGTTGGTAACAATTATTTACAAGGGGGTGTAATCAAACAAAATCGGGAGCACTCCCTAGAAGACTCAAGCTTTTTTTCTTTTTCTCTATTTCTTTTAAACTTTCTTGTCATAAAAGCCAACTTACATTAAAATATACTTACTACAAGACAACACAACTAACAAAATATATAATAAAACTTACACAAGTAGAAAATTCTGAGGTATTTCTGGTTTGAGGTGGTCTGTGGTCGTGAAGTTTTAATTCTTTTACTTTCCAAAATTTAAACCTCGGAAGCCACATAGCAAAGCGTGTGTGTGTATATGTGGATGTGTTTTGTTTTTTAAAAAAAATTTGTGTGTTTCATAAATTAAAAAAAAATTCAAATGTTGAAACAGCAGCATTAGGAACATTCACTGACTAGAGCAAGGTTATGGCATAATAGAAAAAGTTTTTATAGAATATGCACCACTTTAAGGGGTCTGGAGAAAGCTGTGTCCACAAGCCACAGAGAGGACAGTAGTGTCACTACACAGGGCAGAGCTAGCACTGCAGGACTCCAGAGTCTCCAGAGAGGCAGGCCCTGGCAAGCCCTGCCCAGGAAATCCTCCTGCCTGGGCTGTGCAGGGTGCCCCTGTGGGCAGTTCCCTGAACCGCTCCGGAGGGAGCAACATTTTTCGGTTTTTTTTCAAAGACATTTACAGCACATTGTCTTATGAAAAATGTACTCAAAAACCATGATGATTTCTGCCCTTACCTAACCTTAGAAGTAGGGCAGAAAAAAAATATTTTGTCCTCTGTTCCAGTCCAAGTTAGTGAGAAAAACTGGCCAGGGCCAGCAGATGGGACAGAGCCACACCTGCGTTCATCCTTTCTCCAAACCCCTGCTCTTGCCGTTCATGCTCGGCCTCTGCACGGTCCTTCCCCTCGATTCCTGGTTACCTGAGAAGTAGCCTCCACAGTAAAGGATGTTGCTCCGAATGTGCCCGAGTCCAGTGTAGCTCTGCTCCAAACCCCAACCCCAGCTCCATCCTCCCCTTCCAACTCTAGTCCGAACCATCCTCATCCTCATCCAGTTTTTCCTCGGACAGGAGAACACCCATTAATCCGTGAAAGACACATCTGCTGTTTCTTTAACTCACTGTCTAAAAAGGGAGAAAAACACAATAAAAGGGGGGAGGGGGAGGGCAGAAGGAAACTCCTCTTTTGAGGAAGGAGTGTTCTTATGTAACAGTCTTCAAAGGTTCCTCTAAGTAGAGTTTGCAGCATTAAGTTTCCTAAGACAGGAGATGGGTTTCTTTGTGTCACAGATTCTGAGACAACAAACAAAGAGAAAGCAGGAAAAATGAACCCCAAAGGACAGGAGGTGGCTGAGGCTCTTCAGCATGGCGCTGGTTCTGCGTTCACAGCTCAGCACCTCAACGCCTGCTGACGTGTCCGCTGTTTGCGATACAGTAGACCAATGTGCTGGTAAAAACTGATCCAATCCAAAAAATAATATTAATAATAATAATTATAATAATTATAATAATAATAAAAAGTCACGGTAAAATAGCAGCTGCATTTTATGTGTTTGTTGGTGTTATGGGATTTCCAAAACAAAACACAACTTTTTTTTCCTTTCCTCTTCAGATCACTGAGTCTGGAGAGCCACTCGTGTCCTGGGCTTAGATGCTGGACTCTTTAGGAGGCAGGTCCACGTTGGTGACAGAGGTCACAAGGGAGACAAGGCAGTCCGAGGTAGTGCCGTTGACCGACCTCCGGATCAGGGACACCCGCTCCTCCACGCAGCCAGCAGACAGGCGAGCCTCTGCATCATGGTCCCAGCATTCCTCGATGGTCACACAGAGCTGGGCCAGGCCCTGCACAGCGAACATGGAGAAGAAAAAGACACCCATGTTAGTGGCCCTAGGCAAGGACAAACACGAGGGAAAGCAAATTTGATGAGTCCAAGGATCAGGTAGAGCTCACCAGCCCCAAGCCAAGCAGCAGGGTAAGCAGAGGCAGCCTGGGGGAAAATGCAGGAATCGGGTGTCTTCCCTCCTGGCAGTGACATCCACAGCCCCAATAGGAGGGTCACTGAACCTCAACATAGTAAGTGGGCACACATGCCCTCATGGGGCAGACACCGCTGCTTGCCTAGGAGCAGTCATATTCAAACGAAATCACGGTGAAGCCCAAATCAAGGGTCCAAAGCAGAACAGTGAGTCACAGTGGGGACAGGGGACATGATCCTGCTCTACTCGCCACAGTCCTGGCAGCACTTCCCTAGTGTCCGGGAACACGGTATGACAATCTGTGCAGGAACCAAGTGTGTGGCACGGGGAAAGGCAGTAGGATAAGCAAAACGCCCACATCTACAAGAGCTCTCCGGCCACTCAGTTCCAGGCCACACTGAGACCTCACTGGATGTTGGGCTCATCAGGAAACTGGGTCAGCTCATCCAGCACCTGTGCCTTGGGAGAATGAGAAAGACTGAGGCAATCGGTACAGACTCTGGCTCACCCGTTATCTCCCCAGTTAGGGAACTGACCCCCAGTGCCCCAAGACTATGCTTTTTCTGAATTTGCCCTGGGTGGGCTGGGGGAGGACTCAAGGGAGCTGAAAGCAAATATCCTTCCAAGACAGGAAATGGTTTTCGTGACTGGGATCTTCTGCACAGCGTCCCCAGAATAGAGGCACCCAGATGCCACGTAGCTCATTCCATGCCCAGAAAATGACGAAGGCAGAGAACAGAGAATATTTAATCAGAACTGATCCATATTAGCACTTATGTGACAGGTGTCCTGCCAAGCAATTCACAATGATACCTCATTAAATCTAATGTTACCCTGAGGAGATGGGCACTCAGAGAAATGAAGCAATATGCTGATGTCACCCAGCTGCTGACTGGCAGAATCGGTAGGTATCAGGCCCAGGACCAGAAGGTTCCACTGCAGTGACCAACACAGGGGCAGCCTGGGCCCTGACAGAGCCGCTGGGCCCCATCAGCTCTGCAAAGGCCACACCCAGAGCTTCCTCCCTACAAGGCACTTCACTCATGGAAGGGAAACAGTGTACAAAGTAACCTTGGACCAGCAGGGGAGGAGGGAACCGTCCTGCCACCAGGGGCATCTTCTCTCCCTGTCCCACACCTTCCTCATTGCGGTTGCCACCACTCATGGAGGGGCTCCCGTCTCTGCTCCCCTATAGAAGCATCTAATGCCCAGGACCCTACCGGGTGCTTCAGCCAGTGATCCTTAATGGCAGGCCGCATCTTCTTGTGCACAACCACCTCCTGCAGCTCCTCTAGCGACGGGTGCTGGCCGATCTCCTCCTCAAAGGGCAGCATGTACTCATCCACCGGCCCTGGGGTGAGAGGACCAGGCAGGATCACAGCAGGCCCCACTGCTCCCCTTCCCACACCCAGGCCTGCTCAGGGGCTACCATCCCACCTACCATCCGCAGCCTTGCAGCGGGACACAAGCTCCCACAGCACCAGCCCCATGGCATACATGTCGATGCGCAGGAAGGCATCTCTCTGGAAGTTGATGGCTCCCTCAAGCACCTCAGGAGCCATGTAACGTCGCGTTCCCACCTATATGAGGACAGGGGAGGGTCCACAGTCACCAACCTAGACATAGGAACTACACTCTATGGGTACATGTGGGACCAGAGTGTGGAACTCAGAGTAGGGCACCGACACGAGGGCAGTCCTTGTTTCTCCACAACAAGGGGGCTATGAGCAGTCACAGTGTAAATCACCCTCAGTGAGAAACAGACAGCAGTGATCTAACATGGAACTGCTGCTTCTTTACTCCATCAACATCACAAGGGGATACTGAGATCAAGGCCAAAAAAGCAAAAAAAGGGAGGAAAATACTTAAAAATAAAAGTAGCGATTATTTCAGGACAGTTTACTATTCCTAGGTTTTAAGTTTGGATTCATCATATACCTCTATTTTATCTTAATAACTACAAGTGAAAGAGACTTTCCTTTAAGGACAAGCAGCCAAAACCCCAATGGGGCATCTACATTCCTTGACTGACTGGCCCAGGAAGGTACAAACCCTCTGGGCTTTGCGATTCCCACAGGAAAAATGGGAGCACTGTCCTGGAAGTTTCTGATGGCTCTGGGTTTGGGCAGTGATCTTGCCTGCACCCTGCCAGCTGAGCAGCAGAAGGGCAATGTCCACCCCCATGCCAGGCCCCCTCTTGTGTTCCCTGAGGGTCGTTACCTGTCCATGGGTGTCCCCCGGAGGTTTCCCTGGCTCAAACCGAACAGCCAGGCCAAAGTCAGCCAGCACGGCCGTGAGGTCACTCTTCAGCAATACATTCTTGCTTTTAAAGTCCCTGTGGAGACAAGTGGCTCAAGATGAAGCTGAAATTCATGGTTGGACACATCCTCCCCCTGGCCTCCCATCATGGCTCCTTACTAGAGAGCTACTTTTGGTGCGTAAACTCCCCAGTGCCTATCTCCGTCTTGTGTTAAGGATTAAAGTGAGAGAAAAGTAAGTACAAAAGCTTAGGGTCACCCCTGGTACACTTACTACGCACGGCGAGATTGAATAAAAGAGTGGTATTCAACCTTTCTTGACCAACAAAAATGGCTAACAGGGGTCTCCGTGGTGGCGTAAGGGATTAAGCACAGCACTATGAAGCAATCCACAGCCTCTAAAGCACGAGTTCAATCCCCGGCCGGCCAGGGAGCTACTCACGTGGTGAAGCAGACCTCTCCTATCTTGCCCGCTGCTCCCCTCAGCAGTGTATTTGTCAGTTTGCCTGTTCTGCTCCCCACTCTGTCTCTGGTGAATCCTCTCACCCCCCCCCATCCCCTATATCTCTGGCCTATACCCCAGTTCTTGTATGCATAAATTAATAAATCTTTGAAAAAAATGGCATTATGCTATGTCACAAAGTTATAGCACTAGGAGCTCTTCAGCCTTGAACTTTGGAACCCCAGGCTCATTCTCTTCTCCACCACCACAGATCCTCACTAAATAGGCATGGCTCTGGTACTTGACTTCCCTGCACTGAGGCCCTTCCTCTCTAACACAGGGTTAAGAAAAAACAGCCCCGATCCCAACAGGTAGCACTGAGCTTCAATGCCTGGGTGTTTCTGTGTGTTTGGAGCAGCATCTGCCGTGGAGCAAGCACCATGGTGAGGAGTTAACACTGCAGTTTTCGAAGTGTGGCCCGAGCACCCAGATGGTCTCTGAGGCTGATTCAGGAGATCTGTAACATTCAAATTCTTTTCATAATAACCCACTGCTAGCCTTTTTTAAGCTTGTTCTCACAGAGGCTACACATATGCAACATTGTTACCCTAACAGTCAATGGAATGCCTGTGCTTTGATACCGGAAATACAACAGATGTAGGCCATAGTTACAAAAGTTCTTTTTAAGAGTGTGAAGAGATTCAAATCATGAGGTTTAAGAAACACTGAGCCAACTCTCCACTCCAACTAATGGTGTCAGCACTTCCCTCGTGAAGCCACTGGAGGGCACCAGGAAACTGCCAGGAGATACCCAGGACACAGGTAGACAGGGCGGGAAGGGCAGCACCAGGAGGACACAGGTTTTTGTGCCCAGTTGCTTCTGACACAGTACAGAGCAGTTAAGCGTGTTCACAAAATTGAGACATCACCACCCCCGACCCTGCTCTAGTCCTCCAACCCACGGCAGCTCCAGGGTGCACAGGGAGAGCAACAGCTAACCCAGGTACCTGTGGGCAATAGACGGCTTGTGGCCCTCGCCGCGGCACCAGGGAACGTCCTCATGTAGGTACGAGAGGCCTCTTGACATTGTCTCCGCCACATGACACAGTTCGTTCCATGTGATGATGTTTCCCTTGAGGTAATCCGTGAGGGAGCCCTAGGAGACAGCACAGAATTTGGGTACAGGCTCTGGACAGAGGCCAGGGCCCACCTGGGCCCTGGGAGGGCACTCGGCATACCAAGTAGGATGGAATTTACAGGGAAGGCGGTATGGAGCTAAGGGAGTCAGAAGGTGTTAATCATGAAGTCACTGCTCTTATTCAAGAGAATTTATCACTACCCCAGGGGTAGGGATTCTTATTGTAGACATATTTGCACCTAAGGAAAGGTCACCTTATTGTGCAGGCCACCATGGACCACGGCTGCCTGGTCTTATGAGTGCGGCTCACCTTGTCATGGAAGGCTGTGATCAGCCACAGCTCCACCTCGAGGTTGGAGCCTCGCTTCTCAGCAGCAATGAACTGCAGCAGGTTCTCATGCTTCATGCCAGGCGTGCTGAAGATCTCCCGTTCACTCTGCCACGACTGCTTGTCCTGAGGCAGGGATGTGGCTCAGCCCAACTGCAGGCCCCCTCACCCAGCCCCCCAACCACCAGCCCCGCCTCAGCCACTGGAAGGGAGGTAAGTGGAAGATCACCACTGAGCTGAGTCCTGGAATCCAGGCCAATAGTGAACCCTGAGATCATTTAAGGCCGGTGCCAGATTTGCCAACAGAGCCACTGAGGTTCAGAGGGGAGTGAATGGCCCAGTACAGATGAGAGGCAGAGCTGGCCTGACTTTGCTAAGTATCCCGGCGAACTGCTTAAGGTAGCCCTCTGTCCAGGGCCTCTAAGCAGAACTGGTCAAAAACAAAACCCTGAAAACGAGAGTGGACTGAGGTTCTGCAAAAGACCTACCCTAGCCCTGTGATGAATGCTCACCATCCCCAGTGGGGCCCACTTCTCTCTCATGCCACATGCATGAGCCCTGGGCTACCCTGGGATGGGGGAGAGCTCAGGTCACAACAGAGGGAGATGACCTCTGTTGAGTGAGGTTGAGCTCCTCACTCACTCACCTGGAGCGGGAAGATCTTGACAGCCACAAAGTCATTCATGAGCTGCGCCTTCCAAACACACCCGAAGCGCCCCCGAGCCTTGATCTCCAGCAGCTGCAGTGGCTTCAGGCCCACCAAAGGGGATGGGGGTGGAGGTCCAGGGTCCTGGGGGAGATCAAGGGCTTAATAGGGTCTGGCCTGATCTCCCTACCTGTACCCCACCCTGCCCTGCCCTGGTCAGCCCTGTCTCACCTCGTGGATGTCCACATGGCCGTAGGGGGGCTTGCGATGCCGATACATCCAGAAAGCCAGCAGAACGATGAGGGAGAGACCCCCAATGGGCAACAGCGAGTAGGCCAGCACCGTGAGTAGGGTGGGGGCTGTCGGGGGTGGCTCGTACGTGACTGGGGGACACACGGAGCCCTGGTCACACAGCCCGCCCACCCCCAACCTCCAGGGCCAGCCAGAGGGCCCTGCTACCACTCACCACCCAACTCAGGAGCTAAGAGCTCCAAGGCCAAGGAAAGGCCCAAGTCTGTTCCTCCTACTAGCCCCCTCACCTTCTGGGCCTCCAGCCTCCGGCAAGTGGGTAAACCGCTCATTGCAAAAGTTGCCTTCACAGCAGCAGAAGTAAACCTGGGGGTTCTCCTCGGTGGCCACACACTCCTGCCTAGAGGCACAGAGCATTCCATACAGCCCTCAGCTAAGGGTACAAGACCCATCAGGGTGTGCCTAGCCACCCCTCCCCCGCCAGATAAGTTCAAGAATAACTATAAGGGGAACAGTGTGAAACCCCGCCCCCACCTCTAAAGTGGGAGTAACAGCAGGAAGGGACAGCTGGGGTGGCCACTCACTGGGGCAGAGCAAACAGCTCCAAAAGAGCTGGGCCCTGGCACGACCGCTCATAGGTATTTAAGCTGCCTCAAGAGCCCTCTTCTCTTCCCTTCCCACCTTGAATGCCAGGTTCACATTCAGACATCCTGAGTCCCACATGACCAGTGGGCACCAGTGGAACTAAGGTGGGGGTGGGGGGCAATCTGGCACCTGTCGTAGCAGTTGAAGTCATCCAGCCAGCAGCCCTTCTTGACCAGCTCGATGGTGCCGGAGCTGTTGCGCCAGGAGGCGTAGCAGTGCAGCCGCTTGTCCTGCTCGCCCTCGCAGCGCTCCAGGCCGCTCTGGTTGGTGCGCTCCAGCTCCCAGTTGGCGTTGTAGTAGATGCACTCCCTCGTCTCGGCCTCCCCACGCCCAGAACCTGTGCCCAAAGCAAGCACAGCGTGTGCTGGGTCCCGGGCCACCCATCGTCCACCCACTCAACACCCTGCAGCTCACCTCAAGCACTAACCCCAGCCCAATCGAGAGGGAGAGAATCCTTTTCACACCCAGAGACACACCTGGTGTTCAGCAGGGTCAGAGACAGCGGTAAAGAATCATGCCCTGTGCTCAGAGTAAGGCTCCCCAAGTCACCTCGGGGACCAGGTGCCCCAAGCAACGGGAGGCTGCTGCATGTGGAGCCATGAAAGATGACCACCTAACTGGGTTACGTCCTGAAGACCCTTGTGGACAGGCTCTCCCCACCCACTCCTATGCCTTCTTCCACCCCTGCACCCCTGCACAGTATCATCCAGATGGCCAAACACTTTCACCCCAACTACCCCTGCAAGCATGGCCTGAAACAGTCATTAGATGCATCTTTCTCCTATGCCGTGTAAGACAACTCCCTGGTCTCTGCCCTAAATCTGCCCACTGTCCCCAAGATTCCCACAGGCCAGTGATGGGAGGAGGAAGGAAATGCCCAAGACAGTTCCCAGAGAACAGATTTTGTTCCCAGGACCCGATGCCTGTGCTGAGGAGCTCCCCGGGCACCTGCTTGGCGTTAACAGTGCCATCGTCACTTCACAGAGCAGCCAGGAGCTACAGAAGCAGTGGCATATACAACCCCACTGCCGAAACAGACACCCAGGGGCAACAAGCTCCTCCTTTCTCCTCCACACCCCTTGTGCCCACTGTGGCTGGTCTCCCGTGTGCTACTTCCACCCTCAAGAAGGAGGGTCGTAGTCTGCCTCCCAGCAGGACAGTCAGCCAGTTGCTGGCAGCCAGGACAGAGAGAGTCCATCCCAGCCCCAGAGGGATGCAGTGCAGGATTCTGGCATTGCGCAGAGCCTCCCTCACCTCTCCTCCACTCCCATTACTTGCCATCTGAGCAAAGAGCTTGATATCTCATGGGACACCCAGAAAGAAGGATCTCTGGCTTCCAGGAGGGAGAAGCCCCCTAATGCAGGAGCCACCATCCTCTGTCGACCCTACTCCCTTCTGCATTTCCCTGCAGCGATGGGAGGCTCCTTCCAGAGTGACCTGGGTAGGGGCAAGCAACAAATCTCAAAAGTTTCAGATAGGAATGAAGTTTCAAAATGAAATCTGACCAGAGTGCCTTCCACTGTCATGGGGCCCAAACTCTGACATCTGTAAGAACAAAGTGTATAGCCCCAACCACCCAGGCAGATGGGACACAGCCTGGTCCACAAGAAGGGGGCCTCGGGCCCACAAAGGGACTCATCATGCAGGTTTCCCCTTGCGGGGTGTTCATGGATCATAAGGTCTCACCTTTAAGGAGAGAACTTCAGTGGAGGTGTGGGTATAGGAGATCGACAGCTGAGCAACAACCACCAGGGGCCAGGACACAGGTTGATAACTACAATGCCCACAGGCCTTGCCCATCAGCAGCCGCAGCAGCACTGGGTGGCTGGGCTATGCAGAGCACCCAGTCCAGAAGGCTTACCTCCCAGCCTGGGGAGGTACGTATCTACAGCAGCAATTCTAGAGCAATTCTTGGAGACTTGAGACTCACGGGGTCAGACTTAAAAAGCGGGGCTCCAGACACAGGAGCTGGGCCTCCCGCATGGTGGTCATGCCGCAACATCAGGTCCTTAAATATGCTTGGCTTCTGGGCTTAGAACAAGGTACTACCTCTGGCTCTCACTTTCTCCTTTAAGTTTCAGCTCTTTCCCCTCCCCAGAGACCAGGCAAACTCCACTTCCACAAGCCTTTCCATTTCCTCCATCATCTAACTTATCACCCCTGACTAATTGCCTATTGCTGTTTAAATACAATCTAAACAAAGTATAAATATAATGTAACCAAAAATAATCCACAACAATTGTATTATTTCCTCAAAAGAGGAATTGATGACAATTGATTTTCACATGTCAGGATTCCCACACAAGACCGCAAAATTGATGAAGACAGAAATTTTGATGACAAATGCTAGAACTAGTACCAGACACTGGACGGGTAAAAGGAAGGAAGGGAAGGAGGAGGGAGCGGGAGGGAGGGAGGGAGAGAGGGAGGGAAGGTGGGAGGAAGGAAGACCCACCAGTCAGAAGGACACAGTTATTTCCAGGCTTAGACAGAATTTTGAAGGGCAGGGACAACAGGGAGGGTGGCCTCAGCCTACAGCCGAAGCCCTAGGGCCCTCAGGGGAATTTTTTCACCTCCAGTCAGAAAATAAACAACCAAGTCCCCTGCGCAAGGCTAGGGGGCTGAGTGAAGGTAAACAACAGAAACTGGGGAGAACTGAGGCTGGAGGGCCCCCTCCTTCTTCTAAGCCACTGACCAGGCAGGGATCCCTCTGGCCACTATTGTATACAGGAACCAAGTGGACAGGACTGGAAACTCCAAATCTCAAGAGTTTGGTCCAGGTAGGGCCCAAAGATTCATGATGTCACCGGACTGTGTGACCAGATATTCCCACAGGGGTGGGGAGAAAGGCAGCCTTCTGCAGGGCAGACTGTTCAAATCCTGGCTCTGACACTTCCCAACTGTGAGACTCTGGGTACCCAAAGTTACCCAACAACCCATGCCTGGTTTCCCCACTGTGAACAGGTGATGACCACAGCACCAATCTCCTAGGGCTGTCCCAAGAACAAATCACTTAACGCACTTAGGCGTGGTTAGAGCAACGCCTGGGAGGTTAGCTGTTCTGTTATAGCCACACCCTTCCTGCTACCTATGATGATCCTTCACAAGTCACGCCCAGTCCTCCGAGTCAGGTATGCACACCCTGCAAGAACTGTGCATTCAGAGCCAGGGGGTGGGGGGAGAGCACCTGGGAGATTGTGCCACTCGAAGCCCCTACCATACCATACCTACATGGGCTGCCAGCTGGAGACCCGGAGCCTCCCCACCTCTCCATGCAGCACGCATTCAGCTATTTATAGTCTGGAAACACTCCAACTACAAGGCCACCTCCCCCTTTTAATACAGTGAGCTCCAGCCCACACTCTCAGGTCCAGGGGACCCACACACAAGAGGCTCTCCCTAACCCCTGGCCAACTTGCCCATTCTGGCAGGAGAGGAAGCTACTCCTGTGAGGGGGACGCGGCCACTCAAAGGAACCAGATCTTCAAAGGGCAGTGTCCCCAAGAGACAGTGCCGATGTCCCAAGAGGACTACATCTGGCTGGAAAGAAGCCCCAGCACTTCCCAAATTTGCAGTCCAGGCAGGGCAGAGAAACTCTAATCCTAAACACATACAAACAAAAAACAAAAAACACAGATTCTACTCCGAACCAACATTCTAGGCAGCTGGACCTAAATGGGCCAGTTCGGACAAAGACAAGCACCAGGAGGCCTGTTCCCCCATGCAGTGGTCCTCTGATACATAAATGCCCATACAGGCACTGATGGATTGCCAGTCTTTCTATTCTATTCCATTGTCTATTAAACTATTTTGCACCCAAAAGTTTATCATTTTAATAACTACAGCTTTATAATGAATCCTGAAATACAACAGGCGCACCTTGTTCTTTTCAAGAGAGCCTTGACTCTTCTTGATCCTTTGCATTTCCAAATTGTTTTACTCTGAAAACTGGCCAGAGAGTAAAATTTAAAGGCTTTTTCTACATCTGCTGAAATAATCCTTATAGTTTTTCCCCTTTTACTCCATTAACATGGTGGACAGAGAGGATTATCAATCATAGAAGACCAATCCAACCTGACCCCAAGGCGATATATTCCACAAGTTCTTCAAAAGACAGCATAAAAAATCACCCCTTGCTCTGGCAAAATACAGCTCACTGCCCACCTGTGTCTATGCAAGCATTTCTTTCTTAAACCTATCCCCTTCAAAAATGCAGCTCCTGTCTTTTAAGACTGCCCATCTGTGTCCATGCAGGCATAGACTTTTCCCGTTTTCCTACTTTCCCCTTATCTTAATAAACGTAATAAGGGGCCTCCCCTGGTGACGCAGCGGTTGAGCGCTGACCTGCAGCCTACAAGGCTGCCTGCAGCCTCTGCAGCGCCCGGTTCGTTCCCCGGCTGCCGGCGGGGGTCCCACAAAATATAAATAAATAAATAAATAAATAAAAGTAATAAGTTTTTGTGTGCTGATGAATGGGAACATCTGCTGATTTCTTTCTCAGAGGGACCCAGGAACCCCAAACACACTCCATCATCTGAGCCCCAAAAGAGAAAAGTCATCCCCAACAGTCTTCCCTAATCCTTCAGCCAGTTGTGGTAGAGGCTGTGCAAGGTAACAAGGCATATACGCAGAGACAAACTGAAGCTCAACAGACACACTGGGTCACGAGAAACACCAGATTCTAAAATAACCATTCTACAGAGGATCCTCCTGTCTCCCCTGCCATTACATTACCACATGTGAAATCCGGATCTGCCGAGATCCTGTCAAATGCACTGGGCTCACCGGTAGTGCCCCGTTACCCACTGCTTCTTGCAAGCTTCAGCAAGTGCCTCAGTCTCTCCAGAGGCAGAAGCCGGCATGGAGCACAGTCAGGGAGCACAGCCAGACACAAAGGCACACCCACCCCACCTAGACCAGCACATCCTTGCTAGTCCAGCGTACCTCCCCTCTGCCAGCTCAGTAACCAGGAGACTCAGATGTGAGCAGCAGCCTCTGTGGCTCTCTTCAAACACTAGTCCGTGGACGTGCGTACTCTCCCTGTCTGGGCATCCTTCATGAAATGGGCTATTTCCAACATAACGTTTTAGAAGGGAGGAGATATTCACAAATGGTGGCAGAAGTCGACCTGTCACCTCACCCAGCTTCTGCCCACATTGCCACTACCTTAGCCTCAAAAAACCCCAAAAACCCACCCCAGTACATTTTCCTGTGTCTATTAAAAAGTCCATCAAAAGGAAACTAGGTAAAACGTTGTCTACATCCAAACTCTGAAATTTTACAATGTTATTAAGAAAATCGAGGTATACCCATATGCAATAAAAAGACTGCCAAAAC